GTGGAACCCTTCACCCCCCCAACCCGAAATTCAGGTCTTCGGGTTGGGTTGGGGTGGTCTGGCAGGTAGTCAGCTAGAAACCTCAGAGAGGCTCAAGATCTCAACGGGTCAAAAAAGCACACGAGGTCCAGAGCTGCCCAGAGAGGCCCCAGGGCCTCCACATTGGAGGCTCGACCTCTGTTCTGAGGGCGTTTCTCCCACCAAGCCTCCTGCGGAGCTGGGTCCTCGTCTTGAGCCCACAGCGCCGCGCGCGCGTCTCGCTCCTCACCCCAAGACCAGAGCCACAGCAGAGTCTGCAGCCTGAGGCCCTCGACAGCCGAAGACAATCGAAACTTACCACATCGAAGCACGCGAAAACCAGCTCACACAGATCGTGGTCCATCGGAAGATGCACATAATTACAGCCCCAGAGACAAGCCCCGCATGCCGTCCCCAGTGCACTTCGGCACGCCGTTCGCACGAGTCGTGCCCCACCGGGAGCTCCACCTGCGGCCCCAGATGACGCCCCCTGCCCATACCGCCGCACCCTTCACACGTGTCGTGCCCCACCCACAAAGAGCTTCACCTGAGGTTCCAGAGACAGGGCCGCATGTTGCTTCCCGCCAATCTCGGCTCACCTCTCAGACGAACCGCGTCCACAGGGAGCTCCACCCACGGCCTCAGAGACAGGGTTCGCATAGCGCTCCGCTCGCCCATTTCGGCACGCCTCTCACGCTGACCATGCGTACCACATAGGGAGTTCCACCTGCGGCCCTTGCTGATACGCCCGCATAGCGGAGCTCCACCCACGGCCCGAGTTTGGCAAGTTCCCATTCGGGCTTCCGCCCATTCCGGCGCACCCCTCACACGGATCGTGCCGCACAAGGAGTTTCACTTACGGCCTCGGTGGTCGCGTTCGCATGCGGACGTCCGCCCAGTTCGGCACCCCCATCACGCGCATCGTGCCCCACAGGGAGCTCCACCTGACGCCTCAAGCGCTTTCGTACGCGGGCCTCCGCCCATCTCGGCACACACCTCGTGCGGCTCGTGTCTCCCAGGCAGTTCCGCGCGCTTCTGCGCGCTTGCTCCGCAGCTCCCCATCCAGACTGCCCCGTGGCGCCCAGAATGTGAAGAGCGGGCCGCACCTTGCGCCACACGCGGTTGCATAAGGTTAGGCTCTTGGCCAGGCTAATTCTTCATTCTGCAGAGGCTTGTTCCTCCATTCCGGCGGTTGCTCGTGCGGGGCCACGGTGGAGGGAGGAGAAGGAGAGGGGAGGAGGAGGTTACCATTTGTGCGTCATGCTGTTCATCATAGCCAACTCGGTCTTCCTGGGCTATCAGGTGGAACACGAGGCATACACCCGACGGCAGCTACACAACACATTGGAAGTCGAAGCATTTTTCTGTGTCGTATTCGCATTGGAGTTGGCAATGAAAATCTACGCCATGGGCTTGTCTTTCTGGCTTGGTAGCGAAGGCTGCTGGAACTACTTTGACGTCTTCGTCGTAGTGTCCATGCTCTTGGACTTCTACGTAAGCTTGTCCGAGCAGGCGACAGAGCCGTCGCCGTGGTCGCAGGTGTCTGGGCTGCGCATCCTCCGCGTTCTCCGGGTCGTCCGATTCTTGCGTTCTGTCAGGCAGTTGAGATTCTTCTCACAATTGCGGATCATGATCCGTTCTGTCATGTTCTCGTTGCGACCGTTGCTCTGGGCCGCCATTGTCCTCTTGGGCATGTTCTATGTGTTCGGGATAATCTTGACTCAGGGTGTGACTGACAGCCTCAGGACGCATAACTCATGGGAGGACCAGTCGAGCGCAGATTTGCGATTCCATTTCGGCACCCTGGAGGACTCTGCGCTTTCAATGTTTCAGGCGATGTCTGGAGGCATCAACTGGTGTGTGCTCTTCGAAGCGCTGTCACCCTTGTCTGTACACTTCCGGCTTGTTTTCTTGTTCTTCGTCTTGTTCGCTGTCTTCGGTGCAGCTAATGTGGTTACGGGCAACAAAGACGCCTCCGGCGAATCACTGCCGCCCCCTGCCTTCTGGAAACGCTTGCTTGTCTGGTGAAATGTCGGGCGTCTTTGGGCTCTTCTCTGGCCTCTTGGGCCTTCTTGGGGGCCTCCTGGGGCTCGCTCGGGCCATCTTGGGGCTTTCTTGGGCCGTCTTGGGACGCTCTTGGGCCGTCTGGCTCCGGAGACAGTCTTGGGAGCCCTCTTGAGGCCCTTGGAGACAGTCTTGGGGGTCTCTTGTTGCCGTGCCGTGCCGTCTTGGGAGCCTCTTCAGCCATCTTGAGGCCCTTGTGGGCTGCGTCTTGTGCCCATCTTGGAGGCCTCTTTGACCGTTCTGGGGTAATCGTGGAAGTCTCTTGGGCCGCCTTGGGCCGTCAGAAGCCCTCCAAGACGACAACGCGAACATGTGCTTCAAAACCAATAGAAGGTAACGGATGTTTGTCTCGCGGGCATGAAGCTCATCGGTTGTTCAATGGGATCTCGCGGGATGCCTCTCGGGGGCCTCGTGGAGGGAATTTGTACGCCTCTGGGGCGCTTTTGCGGGGCCTCTCGGGGCTTCTTTTGGACCTCTTGGGGACCCTCGGTGCCCTCTTGGGGCCTCTCGGGTGCCTCCTGGGAGCCTCTCGGGGCTTCCCGGGCGTCTCTTGGGGCCTCCTGGGGGGCTCTTGGGGCGGCGGGCTCGGAGTTTCGGTTTGCGTCCCCTCTCTCGGGTTCTTTTGAGGCCGTCTTGAGGCCCTCTTGAGCCGTCTTCGGGCGTTCTTCGGCCGTCTCGGGGCCCTCTTGAAGGCCTCCTGGGCGGTTTTGGCGCGGCCTCGGGGGCCTCTTGGGACGTCTTGGACAGCCGAGCGCCATCATCTGTCAAAGTGAAAGGACATTCCATGATTTGCTCCTCTTGGGGCCCTCTTGGGAGGCCTCTCGGCGGCCTCCTGGGGCGTCTTGGGCGCCTGTTGGGCCGTCTGGGGGCCATCTTGGGCGTCTTGGGCCGGTCGCTCGGCAAGTCTCGGGGCCCCGCCGGGCTCGGACAAGTCGCGCGCCACAGCGTGGCAGAGCCAACGGGGCGCGCGGGAAGCCCGAGTGGGTGCGCGGCAAGCCCCGCCAAATTACGGAACGTGGTGCGAACGCTGCCACTGGCGCTTTCGGTGGAGCTCCCTATGGGGCCACGAAGCGCTGTACTGGGTGGGTGAAACGCAGGGGGGAGGGGGAGGAGGAGGAGGAGATGAGAGGAGAGGAGGAGAACGCGGGGCGACGTCCCTTCAAAACGAGGACCCAACATCACAGGATGGTTGGGAAAAAATTGGGCCGTCGGGTGGTTGGCCCCGTAGAGAGTTAGCTAGCTCTTTGCAATCATCCCATTCGGCATTCACGATTGCACCAGCTTTGGCGCCCTCCACTACATGCTGAAGGCACGGTGGCGGATTTTCGTGGAAATCGCAAACCATTGGGCGCTCAACGATAAGTCTTCTCGGGAGCAGGCCGCCACTGAGCAGAGGCTCGGTAGTCTCAAGAGCTTGTTCGTACTATTCGAGGAGATGGACCCAGGCGGCCACGGCACTCTGACTCTCGAGCGCATGCAGGAGGCATTGCTCGACGTGGACAGCCGCCTCGTGAGCAGTTTCCACGCACTTGGGCTGGAGGTGACAGACGTTCGCACGCTCTTTCTGCTGCTGGACCGCGACCGCAAGGGTTTTATCAACGTCGACGAGTTTTTGCTCGGTTGTTTCCGGCTGAAGGGCGAAGCCAGGACTTTGGACATCATGAAGTTACAGTACCAATGTGAGTTCATTATGCATAATTTGGTGAACGTTGTCGATATGTTAAGCAGAAGGGATGTCGACATGATGGAGGTTGGTAGTCCAGGGTGTGTTGTGGACTCCGGCGCTGGAAGTCAAACCGACTTCAGAAATTTCTCAGCCGCGGTGGTGAGCAAACAGTTGAGAGAGGTTCTCAATATGAACGGCAGTGCGGTGCAGAGCAGCGCAAGACACGAAGGCAGCGAGAGCCCTGGGCCCCGCGAGATGCAGCGGAGGTTTCGAAGCCAAGTTACGATGTGATGCTGCTACGATCGACTAGACTTGTGGAAGTCGATTAACGCAGAGGAAGCATGCTGCCAAATAATTGCCAGATGTCTAAAAGATTATTCAAACATGTTTTACAATATGTAAACACATGTTTGAAACATTTCTAATGCAATGATGAGCTTGCTAGAGTGTCCATAGTCATGGCATCCACAAGACTAGACCCGCCACATCTGTTCACGCGGCCTCTGATGGCGTGCCACGGTGCAGCCTGCGGCATGCGCGCCCTTATGCTGTACGCGTCATACGCTGGGGTGCGAGTGGCACAGAGCCCAGGGCAGGCACACCTCCCCGATTTCCCCCCCCCTCCTGGCAGCGCCTCTTGTCCCAGAGCGTCCGGGAGCTCTTTTGGGGGCCTCGAGGGGACCTTGTCTCGGGGGTGGACAGACCTCCTACCCTGACACGTCGATCAGTGAATTATCCGTTCTCGGTTCTCCAGAGGGCGCCGCGGCCGTCGTTTCCCAGGCTTGCGCCCGCCAGGTTTGGGCCCGAGGTCGTTTTCACTAAACCACGCTTTACTAAAGGGGGGTCTGACCATCCCCGATGGTCTGCGTCTAGAGATTTCCCAAATGGTTCAGGGGCGGTTCTTTCCTCCTACGAGGCCCTGGGGCTGCTCCGCAAACCCAAGACGATCCCAACATAGTTATCTTGTGGCCCCCTGGAGGCTTGGGAGGCGCCCCCGAGGGCCCCAAATCGGAAGTGTTTTTGCTTCGAGCCATCCCCACCGAAGCCTTCGGCGTTTGATCCCAACGGTGCTCGCGCCCACTGGAACGATATGCGCGTGGCCCCGGTTGTGTCGGCCAGAGCGGCGGTCTGACGAGGGCGCAAGTTGCCGTTTTCCTGAAATCATTTGAAATCTAACCGCCCCAGATCCCTTGAGGAAAGAAACCGGCACAAGCTCTGGGGCGAAAAACCAACCTCCAACACGCGTGGTGCG